AGTAATAATTATATATGTCAGAAAAACAATCCGTTCTGGGAATCTATCGGATATCGACGGGGAATTTGAACGTGGTGAGCCGAGTTCAAATAACGGTTTGGGCTGTTGCTTTCCCTTTCGTACTTGGCAAATATTCACAGTATCATCACAAAAGTTACTCGCTATTTCTCCATGTTTAATTTGGTTTTAAATCCCCAGAAGCGTAAATTCTCGTTCTGATTGTAAGTATATAGTTCCTTGTTTTTTTGTTTTGTTTTTTTTCTCCATTTCCAGCATTCATCGGTAGACAAATTTATCTGTCGCTTCAAGTTTGTTTTTAATCTGTTTGTGAAATGTCCTTCATTCGATTCTATATCGAAGATTAGATCGAACATACATAAGAAGGATTTCTATATGTTAATATCTTAGATTCAGGAAACCATTTAATTACTTCTATGGACCTAGGAATTTTTTTGTCATGTTAGTTCTTCGTTTGCGCTTGTCAATTTCTGAGTTACATTTTCCGACGTCTATCTATACACTATCCACATAATGGCCTTTATGTACCTGCTTGATTCCGACATCATAATATACATCGGCCATATATCTGGCTATATTTATGAGATGAGGTATTATGTACACTATTTACATTATTCGGACTATTGTCCTCATCTTTGTCGCAATGTACTCTCCGACCTTCTTCAGATGGTTCGAATGTCGAACTGAACCCTTTATTTCGCTATGTGGCACAGTGGATAAAGGCGTTGGTTAGATCCAGTGAGAGGACCCAAAGAGTGTTAGTTCAATACCCGTTTAATGCAGTGGATAACTTGGAGAGTGTAATTAAGGAAATGACTGATAACTGACATCCATTAAAAATGGCACGTGGAACCAGAACAGTCTACCCCAGTGGGTGAAATAAAGGGTTCAGTTCAACATTCCAACCACCTGAAGAAGGTCGGAGCGTACACAGCGACAAAGATGAGGATCATAGTGCGAACAATGTAAATAGTGTAGCGGCCATATAATCTGTTTTCTTAGAGTGGATATTTAAGTCTATTTTACGTGCTTTCTTTGAAAAGCGTGTAACAGTTCTTTTAGAATTAAAAAAAAATCACCGTGTCATAACGAGTCTCAGGTTGAGACACTATATTTTAATGTCTAAATTTTATTATTTTTTTTATTTCCCTTGCTAATATTTCTCTGTAAAGTTACTTAGAGTATAATTGTATAGCATTTTTAATAAGTCTGTGTACATAATTACTTATAATTTCCTTGTATATTATCTATCTTAACAAAGTTTCTCTGTATAGTTTCTTAAAGTATATCTACATAGCAACATTGTTAAGAAGGTTTCTCCATAGATTCTTATAGCATCTCTGTAAATTATCTTTCTTAAGAATGTCTCTGTATAGTTTATATAAATCTGGCATCGTGAGTCATTATTAATTGTACGGAAAACACCGTCATACTCAAAATGTAAAGTTTAGATGTGAACACAACCCGCTGTTTGTAATACGACTAACTTAATCATCTATAATAACTCTCCACTAATTCACCTATTGTAGAAAACCAACATTATGTATCAATTTGGGAGGTTGCATCGCCAAGAAAAAAGCTAATGAATATGTTGGTTATACTACATTAACATTATCAAGACGGCTCACTTTACACATACAGGATCATTCGTCCATTGCGCAACATCTGCAAAAACACTTCAGTCCTCATTCAAAATTTAGAAGAATATTAGTCGATATTACCTGTATGCTACACAAAGAACGTAATAAGTAAAAACTACAAATTCTTGAAGCTATCTTTATTAAAACCAACGCGGAACAAAATTAATTAGGAATATTGCACAAATTTTCTGAAATGCTTATAGTATATAGTTCTTTAGAAATATCTATGTTAAAACTAAACATTGTTTAAAAAACACGCAAATTATAATCTAACAAAAATACAATTTTTAACCCAGTTACCTCCCTTATATATTTTTTTTATTTTTTACAAATTTTGACTTTGCACATGACCCAAAATGTTAATCACAGAAGCATAAATTTATTGCGGATAGAAGGAAATATTCGACTTAGCCATCATAACCCGAAGATTGTATTGTAAAATATTGAAAAAAACTCGGGAAAAAAATATACTTATGGCACCTTTGTTTCTCTATTTAACCATAAAACAAAGCCGATACGTGATTACGAAAGGTTATTATTGAAAATAAACAAACACATACCTAAATTGTTTAATCAGACATGTTTAAGTGGAAATATGCTTCTAAAATAAACGGTATATATATATATATATATATATAATCTAGTGAGATTCATATAGGACGTAAAAATATATATTGTCGTAGTTTGATGAGTTTAAACGAAGAAGAAGAAGAAGAAGAAGAAGAAGAAGAAGAAGAAGAAGAAGAAGAAGAAAATTAATTAATAATACAGTCAATAACATAATGACTTATTTATAAATATTGAATCAAATCTGGTTTAAAAATGGATATAAATGTTATATTTAAAATCGGGATATTAAATACTCAACATGTTATTGAGTCATCTCTATTAAGTATGTGCCAGGAAGCTGAAGAAAAGACATATATTTGTCGCTATTAATGGTAAAAAACATTTAGTTAATGTCATATTTTTTAGTATCATTTGCACTCAGTTACGCACACACACACACACACACACACCTAAACGAACAAATGTAAATAAGTAATCAACTTTAACGATACAGAAGTAAACACTCAATAACATTTAGACAATAATTTTTTTCAGTGGGAGTCAGAAAAATTTTTCGATAACAATCTGTTTTATCTTTGAGGTTTATCGACTTCCATTTAATATGTATAAAGAAGTAATATTTAGAAAAAAAGTAATTCCATATGTTGTAATTGTTTCCGTTCGTGCGACGTTATTCACTTCATTTTAATATTAATGTGTGGCGTCAAAGATTAAACAATTTCAAAGATATTTTTCTGATATTCTTCATGTTCATAATACACCCTTATCTGAATTGAATGTATTTTTTTGTCATTGCTTCATTGTATAGCCAATTACCGCTTACATATATAGGCAGGAGCTTCATAGTGTTCACTTTTCAAATCAAGATAGAGTCCAGAATCGTATGTACAATCATTATGGGTGACGCATAATCTTCCGCCCTCAAACCTCACAGATGAAACGTCGCAACGGTCTCACTGGTCTATCACTATTTCCATGGAAAATGTTTACACGAACTACATTTCTTAGTTCCACCATTTCTAACGTTCATGACTAAGATTTGCCACGCTAAGTTCACCAAAACCATTTCCTACGTATTTCATCAGTGAGGTGTAAGTTCCATTAGAAACGAAAAATAGCTTATTGAAACTCTTTTGAACTGTGAATATAAATGGAGGTGACGGTATTCTATTGTACGTAATGTGTAACAGGTATGAGGAAGTATATATATATATATATATATATATATATATATATAAATAAAAAGAAAGAACAGTAAGATATATAGTAAGTTCTTATAGATATATAGTAAGTTCTTATAGATATTTTTATTTTACAAAATAGTGCTCAATGTAAATTTACAGAGCATTAATATTATAAATTAATTGTTTTAAAATGTTTTTTTTCGCTACACAGTTCTAACCATGTTTCAAAAATGGAAGCTAAAAGCCTCGAATTTAATTTTTTAAGTAAATTAAAGACATTAGTTCCATTTCCTCCTCAAGCGAATGGTTAGAACTGTGTAGCGGAAAAAAAACATATTTTAAAATCAATTAATTTATAATATACTATTATAATTAATTTATATATTCAAATATATGTATATATATATATTTGAGACATTTTTTAGTTTATCTTCAGATATCAAAACGCATTATCCCCAGATACAGTTCTGTCTTTTTTATTATAACCCGAGGAAACAAGAAAGTGAAAGTGCTCTCGGCAAAACGCATCGTTCATAAATTTTACACTATGTCTAATCATCTTCACTTTTGTTTCCGATAATATTATGCATCTTACAAACACACATACACACATTTTTAACAGCTGCTCCTCCTGTTTAATGCGTAGCTCTTCGTCCCAATTGAGCACTCTGGCTGAAGTTTTAGCGTTTATATATGCATCGCGTATATAATACTTTAAAAGATTCCCTTTCTCTGCCGTGCTCTGATAACTTAGGTGTAGAGTCTCTGACTGATGCCAAATCGGTCGAGTTTCAATCCCGGCTTGAAGCAGTCTCTAGTAGCCAGTAGCCAAACTCATGTGCTGTGATACAGCGAAACAGGCTGTCCGGGTATATATATATATATATATATATATATATATATATATAGGAGAATGATAAATCTAAATTCAATTCCGGAGCCGAAATGCCTAAGAGAGTCCCATCTCTGCCTTCTCTGGAACAACATTGTTCGCGTGGAGTGGGGAGCTGTGTTATCTGGGAAAATGCCGATCTGTCATAAAATAAATCTTGCCTGGACCTGCGCACTTGAAAGGGCATAAATCTTTGGGCGTAGATCCACGAGGTTTCTCCAGATCAGTGGATGCCATATTATCAGAAAGAAATAATGTTAAAGTTTGTTTTTCATATGCATTTGCAGAGTTTCTTGCAAATACATTATTTAACAGATTGTCGAGTCATCCAACGGCGATGATTTGCACCAGTTTTGTGCTCATGTCAAATATTCTCAAAGGCCAAGAATGAATCTTCAATTTGTAATTCAACAACTCATTCTGTATTTCTACATCCGATTGGGTTATACCCAAGAATAAAGAGTGTGCGTTTGATTTTGTCCCAAACACATTGTTCTTTCAGGAACCAGTACAAAAGATCGATAGATTTCTATTTTGTTTTTATGCTTACATCAAAGAATGCTAAAGTCTAGTATTTCGCTTTTCATCATCTTTACAATTATGTTTTATTGTAGCCGACAGAGAAAGAAGTCCTTGAAAAATCAACCCGGATACATTATCACTAGAAAAATGTCATCGATAGATTCGTAGCTGTTATTAAATAACATGTTGAAAAGGAACAAATATAATAAAAGAATAAAGAAACTGAAGGACGGAGGTGAGAAAGAGAAAGGGGAAGGAATAGGAAGAAAAGAGAAGAGAAGAAGCGGGCGGAAACAATAGGGTTAGAATAGGGGTAGGAATAGACAAAGAAGAAATAGGGAGTGGAATGAGGTGTAGGAGGAGGTGTAAGAAAAAGAAGTGAACGGAGGAGAAGGAATAAGAAGATGTAGGAAGTATATTAATAAAAAGCAGTCGAAGGGAAAAGAGGCTAAAAAAACAAAAGGCGCACAAGGAGAAGAAATAAAGACGACAGTAATGTCGGAATAAGAAAAATAAAGCAGGGCATAAAACAAGAAGAAAGAGATGAAGATTAAGGAGAAAAAGTAAAAGAAGAATATGGACGATGACAAGAATGTGAATCGAAAAAGAAGAAAAAGAAGAAGAAGAAAAATAAAAATAAATATCAACAAGAAGGGAAGAGAAAAGGAAAGGAAGAGTCTAAGAAGAAGAAGAAGAAGAAGAAGAAGAGAACGAAAAGAAGGAACTGAAGGTGGAATAACAAGGAAAGGAAAGAGAAACGAAGAATGTAAAAAGAAGAAAAAGAAGAAAAAGGAAGACGACGACAAAGAAGAAATATTAACAAGAACAGGAAAGAAAACAAAGAAATTCAAATAAGGAATAACAACAAGAGGAAACAAACGAAGAAGAAGAAGAAGAAGAAGAAGAAGAAATACTAATAAGATCAGGAAAGAAAAAGAATTTAAAAAGAATTCAACAGAAGAAGAAGGTACAAAATAAAGAATAACAACAAAAAGAGGAAAGAAATTGAAGTATGTAAGAAAAGAAAAAAAGAAGAAGCAAATGTTAGAAGAAAAAGAAAAGAAATAAGAATAAGAAGTTGGAAGAAAACAAAATTTTCGAAAAGAAAAAGAAAACACGAAGAAGAAGAAAAAATGAATAACATTATGGTGAGCAAAGAAAGCGAAGAATCTAAGCAGAAGACGAAAAGAAAAAGAAGAAGAAAAATAAAGAAATACGAAGAAAAAATTATGAAATAAGAAGGAATAACAAGAAGAGAAAAGTAAAGGAAAAATCTAAGGAGAAGAAAGAAGAAGATAATGATGAAGAAGAAAAAAAAATTAGAAGTGGAAAAAATATTAGGAAAAGCATGAAAAAGAAAAAAGAACAGGGTGACGAAAGAAGAAGAAGAAGAAGAAGAAGAGAAGAAGAAAAAGAAGAAAAAGAAGAAGAATGTAGAGGGGGTAGAAGAGCAAGCAAGCTGAGGGGAAGCAAGAAGAGTGGAAGGAGAACAGAAAAAAGCGGAAACAAAAGTTGAGGAGAAGGAGGAAGTGGTAGAACAACATGGCGAAGTCTGAAAAGGAGTAACAATAAGTTAGGATGAATAGTAGGATCAAGTTACGTAGATGAGAGAGCAAGGGAAAAAATTATTAAGATGTCGTCTCAAAACCAGTTATAAGAAACAACCAAAAGCAGAGATTTTTTAAAAGATCAAAAACACGGACGCCATCCGAGGCAGTTCTTACACGAAAAACAAAATCCTTAAAAAAAAAAAAAAAAAGTATGTATGTCTTCGATTATCTCATCAATTTACGAAACGGCTCGACAAATCAAAATATGATGTCAGTTGCGCCGAGAAAACCTAATTTATGACGTCATCACATATGACTGATGAACAGCCTGAAAGCGAATCGTGATCTCACCGTTTCTCTGGCATTTCTTTTTTTTTTTGCGGTTTTAGAAATTCTTTGTGCAAGTCTTTCTCTTTCTTTTGCATCGAATCGTGACAACTCCCCCGAAACTGACAAGTTTTGTAAATTAAAATGTAGAGGGCGTGAAATTGATTCGTGACAACATCCAACGATTCGGTTGGTAGTTTCACATATGCGAGTCAGTGGATTGTTCTGTGCGTCAAAGTAAATTCTCGATTGTTATTGTGAGCCTATTTCGACATACAGGATAAATGTATGTTTTGAGACCTGTGAGATTTCATGTTTGTAAGTATATTTACATGTATGAAATCTCGAGGGCCCTTGCTTGCATATTCCTCGCTCATCATTTGATTAATATAGATTCATAACAGAATAGGAGACAATCATATTAGATAAAATGTTCCTCTTCAAGTTTCATATTCAGGTAATTTAGTCTTATGCCAGGCTAATCGAAATATAGATATTTCCTAGATTCGTTTCTCACAGAATACTACTGATTTTTTGCAAGATGCTGTACAGGGTGTATCAAAAGAGCAGTTTCATCACACAAAAACAAGTTGATATAAACATATGTCGGCAAATCTCTCGTTTTTTAGTTATAAAGTTTAAATATTACGATAGATGCTGTTCAATATACAATCCAAAAATATTTTTACAAACTTCGGGGGCGTATTCCTGACGGGAAAACAAGATAAAATATCCATATAAATATATGTCCAAAATGCCATCGTTGTACCTACACAAAGCAACTCATAACAGATGCTAAAAATGTCCTCCACTTGATTCTACACACGCAGGCACTCGTCGGATCATTGACTGGCGGACCCTTTCAAATAATCCCACACGGTGTCAAATGGTCCTTGTTTTAGTGTAACAAAAAAGCTAATGAATATGTTGGTTATTCTACATTAACATTATCAAGACGGATCACTTTACACATACAGGATCCTTCGTCCATTGCACAACATCTGCAAAAACACTTCTGTCCACATTCACAGTTTAGAAGAATATTAGTCGACAGTACCTGTATGCTTCACCAAGAACGTAATAAGTAAAAACTACAAATTCTTGAATCTGTCTTTATTAAAAATTAAAACTAACACGTAATAAAATTCATTGTGAATATTGTACAAATTTTCTAAAATGCTTATAGTCTGTACTTCTTTAGAAACATCTATATAAAAACTAAACACGCAAATTATAAACTAACAAAAATTAAATTTTTAACCCAGTAATCTGCCTTATATAATTTTCATCCCCAAGTTTGTAAAAATATTTTTATACGCCCTGAATATATATATATATATATATATATATATATATATATATATGTATTTAGGCAGCATATTTTCATTTATACATGTTTCACTTTGATAATGGCTTAAGTAAGCCGAAAGCTTAGATTATATTAAAAAAATATGGATCAATATTGTGCATTTCTTTCTTCGTTTAATGTTATCAAACTTATCAGATGTTACGAACAAATTTTACATAAAATAAATAGACACTTGTCTATATTATTTAATGAAACGATGTATATATATATATATATATATATATATATATATATATGGGCGTGGTGTAGACGCTATGGACTTGGTGAGTGGAATCGTGAGGATTTAAACCGAAGCCATTACATTCCGTCCAGGAGTCCGTTTTTTCTTGAATTTAAATGTTTAAATGAGTTTAAGCGTAGTACTAGATTGTCGACAATTTCTTACCATTTCGCATTTAAAATTGTTAGATGTTACCATAACTTCTATGTTAAATGTTTCTTCTACCGCACTTTTCCCGTTTGTAGAAATCCTTTCCGTCTTCTGGCTTCCCAGCCAAATTTGATCTTTAAAATTTTAAGTGCAATACCAAGCGTTATCTTCTGTCATCTTAGTTCATGTCCTTTAATGTTCTGTTTCTTGATAGCAGTGTTTGTTCCCCATATTCTGTAATAGTCAGTAAACACGTTGCGTCTTACTGGACTTATTGCATTAATTGGGATGGAATGATTTAAAAAAAAAACCGTTATTTCTGATTTTGAAAGTGTAAAAATGTTATAGCGATTTCCAAGCGTAGCTTATATACAGCACAAGGTCGAAAGTACGGGGCAACCTGTGAGGATCAAACTCTCTACTCATTCATAACAGTGTTAGAGAGACAAGCTTGCTAACCATTACACCGCTTCGGGGTGCCAACTTATCCATATGTTGTATATGGATATGAAGATAACATTATCGTTAACTACTTGAACATCAGACACTCAGAGCTGGTTGGAAATGTCCGCCGAGGCAAATTGCATTCAGTCCATGATAATGCTCTTGGAAAAGTGTGAATCTATTTCAACTCTCCATTCACTTATAGATAAGGACCTTTAAACCTCTCTTTGTAAAATATAAACATGAGGCAAATCCTAAAAGAATCATAATTGGAATCAAATCTCTTGCTGCTGTAGTTCGGAATAGTTCAGAAGGCCTGTGTTCAACAGTCGTTGTAAAGCATTAGACGCTGGTTTGAAAAAGGAAAAAAAATATTTCTGTTAATCATTTCACCCCAGGAAAGGCAATAACGCCGCTAAGACGCAAGCGGTATAAAGGAAATATTAATGAAGAGAGATGCCTATAAAATAAATAGAAGTATTACTGTTGCATTCTGTACTATTCCCAGCATTTGTCTTATATTGTAGCAAACCATCCTCATTCGCTCTGTATTCCACTCGAATAGCTTCTTCCCGCGAACTACGGCTCTGTGGAACCAACACCCGATCACTACAATCTGAAACTGTCTACGGTTAAACGTTATCTGCCGCATCAGCTGCCTCCTAACGTAATCATCTACCGCGAGGTGTATTTGGGGCTTGTACGAAGCAAATATTACTGAATAAAAAGTCCAAATGGCCACGGTTAGTATAAGGTGGGGTATTTGTCTCATATATATATATATATATATGTATGTATGTGTGGGGTATGTATGTATGTATATATATATGTGAGTGTGTGTGTATATATATATATATATTATGTGGGAAGGTAAGGTAGATTATGAGAGAAAAGGTTAATAATTATTACTGTATATGTGTATGTGTGTGCCTATATATGTATGTGTGTATGGGTGTTTATATATGTATGTATTTGTGTGTGTATGTGTGTATATGTATGTATGTATGTATGTAGATATATATATATATATATATATATATTTTTTATATATATATATATATATATATATATGTGTGTGTGTGTGTGTGTGTATATGGTTGGATATATATATATATATATATATATATATATATATATATATATATGTATGTGTGTATATGTATGTATGTGTGTGTATGTGTATATGTATGAGTATGTACAGGTATGTATATGATTAAATCACGGCAGTATAATGGTTGGCCAGCATGGTTCGCTAGATTGGGTACGACTGAATAATGAGTTCGTTCCTCACTGGGTGCCCCCTGATTTCGGCTTTGTGCCACGATATATTTGTATATATATATGTATGCGTATGTGTGTATGTATGTGTGTATATATATATGCGTGTGTGCATATATATATATGTGTATATATATCTGTATGTCCTATTGTATTGTGTATGTGTATTTATATTTAAGTATATTTCTGTTTGTATGAATGTGTTTATATATTTGTATGTTAGACTATATGTATATTGCTGTGTGTTGGTGTTTGAAGGTATATTTATGTATCTATATGTTAGTTCGTTTATATATGCATTTGGTTGAAAGTTGTTGTATTTTTATGTATGCATGTATATGTGGGTGGTTGTTATTGTAGGTAGATATATTTATGTATATATATGTTTATTTGTAGATATGTATGTATGTGTGTATATATATATTTATGTATGTTTGTGTATGTATATATGTGTGTGTGTTGGAACCTGTTATGTATGAGTTTGTGTGTATGTGTAGGTATGGAAACTTTGGTATATCATGACTGTTTTTTATATATCTAAGTATGTGTGCATAAAAGTCTATGTGTATATATGTGTGTGTATTTAGGTTTATATGTATATGTACGTACATATGTACTTGTTATCATAGATATGTATATGTACGTATATGTTTATGTTTATATATTTATTTGTGTGTATTTCTGTACGTATATGTATGTATGAATATATATATTTTTTTTTTTTTATGTGTGTTAATTTGTTTTTGCTGCCGTGTATATATATATATATATATGTATATATTTGTGGATTTCTTTATCCTGTTTTTCTTTGCCAAATATATAATGAAACTATTATCAACTTATATGATTAATAATATATATATTTTTATTGATATTTATTGTTTTAGAATTTTCGTTTTAATATATTAAATAATATTATTTTAAACATTTTTATCTTTGTATATTTGCTCCCTTAAGTTATAATTCAATAAGTGGTTAGCATTTATTTAAGTCTGAAATATTTACTGGTTGTGATTTCTCAATGTCTATGCCATTGTGGATGTATGTTTGTGTATATATCGGTGTCTATGTGTATGTAGAGTGTATTCACATTTAACTGTGTGTGTGTATAAGTGTTAGTTTCCACGTCTCCTTTTTTCGTAAAGGGCTGTGGAGTTGTTCATGTATTCCCCCTACCTCTTCTTTTTTTGTTTTTTTTGTTTTTAG